TTCAAGCCTTCTCATCTCATGTTTCTCCCCCTTCTCCTCCATCCTTCTGCAGATCATTAGTAGACTAGCCCACTATGCTGAAGGTTTCCCTTTGGTTTTATTATTTCATAGGTATCATAGCATTTAAGCTTTTTATTTGTGACCAATCCACTACCTTTGTGTGTGTGTCCTTTGAAGATATTTTTAATACGTATAATTCAGTTCAACTGAACAATTAGGTGGCTACTGTGTGCAAAGTTCTGTCCTAGGGATATTGGATATATAGAAAGAAAACAAAAAATACCTACAGACTTAGAGGAGCTTACGTTCTATTGAGATGATGCAACATGAACATAGATAAGTATAATACAAAGTAACTTGAGGAAGTAGAAATGAACACTTCTAACTAGGAATGCTGTTATAATTTGTTGAAAAGATGGTACTTGAGCTGTGTTGAAGGAAGAAAAGTACTAAGGAGTAGGGAGTATATTTCAAGTATGGGAGAAAGCTTATGTAAATGAATAAACACAACAGGTAGCGTGTCATGATAGGGAACGGTTGTCTAGTTTTTCTGGAACATAAAGGGCAGGAAGAGGGATGAACAAAAAGAGGTTGGAAAAGTAGATTGGATCCAGATTATGTAAACTTTTTGTGTGCAGGGACTGTTTGACTTCTGTCTTTTTGTTCCTAAAGCCTAGCATAACACCTGGAATATATTGAGTCCTAAATAAAATTTTAGTGATTAATTAGTTTATTGTGGAATAATCTGATTGTTGACGTCATTGTCAGTAGCATGTGGCAGCCTAGACTCATCATATATCTTTCCATCGTCTTTTGGGTCACCTTCCATTTTGATTTTTCTGAGATTGTGTTACTTCATAATTCATTGACATAGAGCAATGTTGTCAAACTCAAATAGAAATGGGAACCATTAAACAACATATAAAATCTCTGAGGGCCTCCTATTTGCTTGGTTTCAAAATGTAATATTGTTTTATCATATGATATATTATTTATTTATTTTGTTAACTATTTCCAATTACACTTTAATCTAGTTCAGGTGGTACTCAAGAGTGTTGTACCTAAGCAACTTTGGATAAAATCATTTCACTTTACCTTCACCTCAATTTCCTCATCCCTAAAGTGAGGGGAGAAAACTAGATGATCTAGATCAGGAGATTCCCTTTTAGCTCTTAAGCCCATGGTTCTCATTCTGGTTAATTTTTGGTTGAGCTCTTTTTTCCACCTGCAGCAAGCTATAGGAAATGAGTTAAGGACTGTGTCAGGAAGAAGAGAGCTCAATATGTACTAGATATACTATGGAGAAAAGAGCCATTTCAGGTAGTCCTTAAAGAATGATAGAATTTGGAATGGTGGAGATATTTTAGGGAGAAAAGAAAGAAGTAAATATGTGGAGATAAGAGAGAGCACTATGGGGAACAAGAAAGAAACTTACCTGATGACTTTGTCCTTAGATTGTCTTCATTAGATTATTTGAAGTCCTTACATTGCCTACAAATTTCAGGATCTGTACCTTCTCTAAGTCTGCCCCATTACCTTTCTGATAATCCCTTTGTCATGTATACAAAGGCTACAAAATGTCTAGGGATAATAAAAGTAATTTTTAAAGTTTTATTGATTTTTTAAAACATTCTAGTCATTTCTCAATGTAACCTTATAATTAACTTCATTGACCCCACCCTTGTAACAATAACAACAAAAGAAAAACAGTCAAGCAAAACAACTATAGTTGTTATTACATGCAATATTCTCTACCTGTAGTGTCCCCCACTTCCTTCTACTTGAAGGGGTGGAAATGTGTGTCATTACCTATTTACTGTAAATAGTTCATGTTGAGTTGATTTTTATGCTTTAAAAATTACATTATTGAAGTAATTTCATATATCCATATATGTATTATGCATATATACAGATACAGACATACATATTCCTCTGGTTCTGCTTATTTTGCTCTGAATCAATTCATTCAAGTTATCCCATGTTTCTCTGAATTCTCCAGTCATTGTTTCTTAAGATACAAGACTACCCCATTACATTAAAAACCATAGTTCATTCAATACTTCCCTGGTGGAAGGTTGCCCACTTTACTTCTGGTGTTTTTGCTATCTTAACAAAAAAAGTATTATTTAGAGTATTTTGTGATATATGTGGGAATTTCATTATTTTCATTGATATGCAAAGTACATATACCTAATAGAATCTCTGAGACAACATATATAAGAGTTTATAAAATTTTAAATAATTAGATTAATTTTTGAGGACCTTAGGAACAATTCACAGCTTCACTGGCAGTATGCTGGTATGCTTGCCTTCCCAAAGTCTTTTTATTAAACTTTAATTATCTCTTTTTTTCATCTCTACCAATTCAACAAATGTGAGATGAAACTTCAGAATTGCTTTAATTTGCATTTATCTTATGATTTGGAATAATTTTCTTATGACTGTTAGTTTGAATTTCCTCTTTTGAAAAGAATTCATAGCTGTTAGTCATTTATTGGAGATTGACTCCAATAACGTTCTCTCTGCAATTAACATATATACACGTATATTTGTAGCAATTCTCTATATATCTTGGATACAAAACTTTTGCACCAGAGTTATTGAATGAAAAGGTTTCCCCCACACACATACACAACAATTTCTTTTCCAAATTTCTTTTGTTCACAAAAAGTTCTTGATATTACATAATCAAATTTGTCTGTTTTTTGAGCACCTCAATCCCTTGTTGAATGGATGAAATAAGTATTGAGTGTTTTTTTTTTAATATGCCAGACACTGTTTTAAGAGTTTTACAAATATGGTCTCATTTATCTCATTAACTGTAAACAATACTTTTGCATGAACAAGATATGCAAACTCATCCTGGTTCTAAAAACAAGACCTTTGTAAAAACCAATTATTCATTTCTTTGTAATGCTGTTAGTATCCAAATTAATCTATTTGCAGCCACTAGAAAGCATCTCATTACTAAAGGCAAGATACACAGTATTAAAGACTCCAACTCTCTTGTTTGGGGGACATCTCAACATCAAATCCAAGACCATTTGAAAAAAGCCTAAAGAAAGAAGACATCTCCTAAGGACCAAAGTATGTAGAGGATCTGAATGCCTATCATACCTTGGAGGAATGGCCTGGAGGTAAAAGTTAATGAGGACCTTTTAAGCAAAAGAACAACCTTATTGGGATGGCAAAAGAACTAAGCAACTTGTTTACATAAGTAAAATGTTTACTTTTTTCAGAGAGGATAGAATACCGGATATTTAGTACTGATGAACTCATCATCCACAGGCAGACCATGCTATGTCTTTATTGTCACCAGAAAATTTGGAGCAACAATCTCTGACTTTAACTCCTCTATCCAGCATTGTGAAAAGTCTTTTCTTTCATTTAAAAATAAATTTAAATGATTTTATATTTAAGTGTAGTATTATGTTATATGGCATAAATATAGCTGGTCTAAACAAACTTTCTGCCAAACTACAGGTTGTTTTTTTCGAAAGTTCTTGTTAAATGGAAACTTCCCTATCTTCTCATGACCAAAGTTTGTGTACTTGGATTTAGCTAATCTTTGTAGCACAGTGGATAGAGTCAGGAGGCCCCGCTGTTAGGAGGACCTGAGTTCAAATTCAACCTCAGACACTTATTAGCTGTGTGACTCTGGGCAAGTCACTGAACCCTGTTTGCCTCTATTCTTCATCTATAAAATGAACTGAAGAAAGAAATGGCAAAGCACTCTAGTATCTTTGCCAAGAAAATCCCAAATGGGGTCAAGGAGAATCAGGCATGACTGAAAAAACAAAACAGCAACAGTTAACAACTGGTTTTGTGTCATGATTAGTACAGTCAGTTTCACTGACTTACTTTTCTATTCTTTAATGACTAGCAAATATTTTCATGAATATTACTTTATAGTATTGTTTGAGATGTAGACCTTCTAGGGCCCATTCATTCCTCTTGTTTTGTTTGTTTGTTTATTTCTTTTTTATTATTTCTCTTGACATTCTAAAACTTTTAGAGCTTCTAAATTAATGTCATTATAACTAGGTGTATGTGGTAACCAATTAGATATTTGATTCGATTAATAGTAAATCTGCTAATTAATTTAGGTAATTTTTCCATATTTATCATACTGATCTGACCCAATCATGAAAAATGTCTATTTCTCCATTTATCTAAGTCTTTTATTTCTGTTAAGCATCATTGCTTTATCCTTGTACTTATTCAGATGTTCTCCAGTGATTCTTCATTGAAATAATTATAGTTCTTGGCTTTTTGAAATTTACTTTAGGTTATTTTTTTCTTAGGTCATTATTAAAATTTTAAATTTATTATTTAGAAATCAAAAAAAGTAAAAAAAGTAAAAGAAATTTAAATAATTATACTGTCAAATGATTTTTTGGGGAAAGTTTGTAACATTTTACTTCTGAAATGATTAAAACTTAAAATTGCAGTCAGACTTTGGAAGACCTTACACTTATATCAATTCCTTATATATTTTGTATATCAGACTTTCTTCAGAGATATTTCATGTAAATATTTTCTTTTATTTCTTACCAGTTTTTCTTCCTGTTTATTGTTATTTTTTCCTTCAAAATCTCTCTAATTTTATATAGTTGGAATGGTCTATTTCATCTTTTATAATTAATTTTGTTGGTTATCTTTTTAAATTAAGCTTTTTCTGACATGCTTTCTTTTATTTATTTTAGGATTTTTATTGTGAATGACTATGATACCTTCCTGAAAGCTTTTTTGCATATATTTATATAATCATGTGTTTTAAATTCTTTTTAATTTTATATGGTTATAACAGTAGACTTAATGGCAATTATGCTAATTTAAATTTAATATTCAATAATTCTTGCATCTCTGGTATCTCATTCAGACCTTATTTATGTTCTTTACTTCAATGTTCAATAGATAAATTGTTCTGTAGATCCCTTTGTTTACTTTATCTCAGCTGAGTTTGGTTATCAGGACCATACTTACTCATAAATAGGAGTTTAGAAAGAGGAATCTCTTAGGATTATGGCCCAACTACTGCTCAGAGTCTTTCTGATGGCACCTTTGACCTCCTGATTCCTTAGACAATAAATGATGGGATTCAGCATAGGTATAAATACTACATATGTGGTTGAGATCAATTTGTTGGAGTTAAATGAGGCAATAGCCCGGGGCCGAACATACATGAAAATTACAGCTATATAAAAGATTATCACCACTGTGAGGTGGGAACTGCAAGTAGAGAAGGCTTTTTGCCATCCAGAGACTGAGCGGATGTGCAGGACAGTGGAGATAATGAAGCCATAGGAGAGAACAGTGGCTAAGAAAGGGAATACAAGAATAACAATGGCTAGGATAAAGTCCACCATCTCAGCCATGGAAAAGTTCTTGCAGGCCAGTTTGAGGATGGGAGAAACATCACAAAAAAAGTGGTTTAACACATTGTTACCACAGAAGAGGACATGTGATATGTAATAGACCTTGACTATACCAATGGAAAAGCCACATACCCAGGAGGTGGCAGTCAGCTGGATACAGAGTTCTATGGTCATGATGACTGGGTAGTGGAGTGGTTGACAGATTGAAACATAACGATCATATGCCATGGCGGCCAGGAGTACACACTCTGTGCAGGCAAGTGAAAGGAAGAAGTACAGTTGAGTCATGCAGCTCAAGAACGAGATGGTATTAGGGTGAAGAAGAAAGCCGGTCAACATTTTGGGGACTGTGACAGAAATGTACCATATCTCCAGAAAGGACATACAACCTAGGAAGTAGTACATGGGCTTGTGGAGGGAACCATTGGCCCAGACAGTGAGGATGATAACCAAATTTTCCACCAACACTAACAGGTAGGTTCCAAGGAATAGGATGAAAAGCAGGATCTGAAGCCAGAAGGAGGTAGGGAAGCCCACAAGGATGAACTCAGTGACATTTGTGATGTTTTCTTCCCACATGGTCAGGACGCCAAGAGTCTATGTGGACCTACAATGGTAATACAATATAGAATGGTTAGGAATAAGGGGTTAGCAGTAGCTATTTACCTCCCACATAGAACCTATCCTTTCATTAATCTAAAACCTTACATTGGTCTTCATCTGGACTGAGTACCATGAAAACTTCTTTACGACTCCCAGGCTGCCCTTCAGAGGAACTGGTGAGCAAAGTAGACTCTATAACCAGTTCCTACTCTAGATCCAAGGTCAGGAATTATGAAATTCATTACAGTAGTTGTGACACAGGATTCAGGAGTGAAAGAGTAGATCTGAATCACAAACAGTACATCTGGCAGAACGAGAGAGTGAGACAGCGGTCACTTTGAGATCCTTTTTTACCTCAGTAGTTTATTTTGGTAGTCCCCTTATTCTCAGGAGGTCCTGTGACTTAGATAAGTGTCCACGTATAGAGAGGGACACAGGGTATGGATACTAGGTCAGGAATTTTAACTGCCTTTGGCCTAAAGATGGAGAAAAAAAGTGAGCGATCTGGGTCAAGAGTCAAACAACCAAATACTATTCACTTGAAAATAATTATTATTACTATTTAAAGGAATCAGAGTACAATAGAAAGAAGGCACAATTTGGATACATGGGATCATAGGATCATAGATTTAGAAATGGAAGTGATGTTAAATGGCATCTATTAGAACTCTTTCATTTTACACATTTTACCCTCTTTCAATTTACATATCTGAACAGGGTGATACTAAATCCATGTAACCTTATGTGAGAAGATGATATGGATTTAATATCACCCTGTTCAGATCAGTTAATGTAGTTACAGAAAATAAGGGGAAAGTAAAAGTATTATATCAAGCTCTCTTTCAAAATTAATCAAGAAACTTGTCTACACTTCATTAAAGGGATTTTTCTAGGCCTTGAGCTGATTCATTTTTACAGTTAATTTAAAATCTCCATGTCTGGATCTTAATTACTGTGATTTCATTAGCTGAGCTGAGATTGGGGGTGGCTGTGTTTTAAAACAAATCAACTCTATTTTTATATAGATGAGGTTGAAGTTCAGTCACTTTAGTCACGTCCAACTCTTCATGACCACATTTGGGGTTTTAGAAGAACAGCAGAGTAGTAGTTGGAGATTCTCTACTCAAGGGTCCTGAGACTTGTCAACCTGATAACAACAAAAGAGGGGTCCATTTTCTTCCTGAGGCATATATCTAAGACATAACAAGGAATGCTCCAAAGCTTTTCTAAACCAGTGACAGCTATTGACTGAGTGATCCATGTGGGCACAAATGTTTCTACCACAAGGAACTTAAAAAGTGTTGCCAATGACTGAAGTTTTCAGTAAGCAACTGAAGACAGCAAAGACACAGGGTGTGTTTTCCTCCATTTTCTCCATTTCCATATAACATCCAGTCGCAGATGTGCAATAGGCAGTTGGAGATGGAATACTGAAGGTAAGCAGAAAAGTTAGGGCTATATAGGTAGATTTCGAGAATCATCAGGATGGAGATAAAAATTGAATCTATAGAGACAGGGGATACAGAAGGGAAAAATAATTTAGAAAGCAAAAATCTAGCTAACAGTGTGATGTCTTAAAATGAGATGTGCATTTCTGAATTATGGCTTACAACATATAGGTGAAAGATCCTTGTCCTGAGATGGAACATTGCTTACCGAAACTGGCAATAATGTACTTGTCAGTTGTCTTGCAAATCTAATGCAGTGGGCTTCATATTAAAGGTGGCAGGAGAAGAAAAAAAGACCATCTATGTGGATAGAGTGCCAGGCCTGGAGTCAGAAAGACTCATCTTCCTGAGTTTAAATCTTGCCTTAGACACATACTAGCTGTGTGACTCTGGGCAAGTCACTTAACACTTTGCCTAAGTTTGTGTCATTTCCTTATCTGTAAAATGAACTGGAAAAGGAAATGGCAAACCACTCCAGTATCTTTGCCATGAAAACTCCAAATGTGACCATGAAGAGTCAGATATGACTGAAAAAAAAACTGAACAACAAAACAGTAGATATGATAGAGAATATGAAAGAGGAATTGAAGTTGAAATGCCCAGAATTCAAAGCAGACAAAATCCAAGGAATGAGAAAGTAGCAAAAGCCATTGTCTCAAATGACTATACTCAAATATCCAAAGTATACTTAGAGTACACATTAATTGAGTGCTTACTGTGTGTCTGTCACTTGCTAAGTGCTAGCCAGGGAAACAAAGAAAGGCAAAAACCTTGCCCTTGAGGACATTACAATCTAATGGGATAGACAACATTCAAATACCTATATATGATTGGAAGTAATCAAGAGAAGGAAGGTACTAGAATTAAGATGGATTGGAGAAGGCTTCTTGCAGAAGATAGGATTTTAGGTAATACTTGAAGGAAACCAAGGAAGCAAGGAGACAGAGGTGAGGGAAAGCATTCCATGCATGGGGGACACAAAGTGAAAATGTCCACAGTCAGAAGATGGAGTATCTTGTTCAAAGAATAGCAAAGAGGCTGGTGTCACTGGATGAGTACATGAGGGAGACAGGTGTGAGGTATAAGATGACTGAAAAGATAGGGAGGGGCTGGTTATAAAGGCTTTAAAAGCCAAACATGATTTTGTATTTGATCCTGAAGGTAATAGAGAGCCGTTTATGAAGAGGGAAGTGTGCTTAATGATCACTTTGACAGCTGAATAGAGAATGGACTGGAATGGGGAGAAACTTGAGGGAGGCAGACTCATCAGCAGACTATTGCAATAGGGCAGGCCTAAGGTGATGAGGGCCTACACAAGGGCAGTGGCAGTATCAAAGAGAATGGGTTGTATGTGAGCGCTACGAAGATAAAATCAACAGGCTTTGTCAATAGACGATATGGGGGTGAAAAAGAGTGAAAAGGAAAGGATGACACGTAGGTTGTGAGCCTGAGGGACTGGGAGGGTGGTGGTGGCCTCAATAGTAACAGGAAATTCTGGAAGAAGTGAGGGTTCAGGGGAAAACATGAGTTCAGTTTTAGACATTGGATTCAAGATGTCTAGAAAACATCCAGTTACAGATGTGCAATAGGCAGTTGGAGATGGGATATTGAAGGTCAGCAGAAAGGTTAGGGCTGAATAGGGAGATTTTAAGAATCATCAGGATGGAGATAAAAATTGTAAAATAGTGTAAAAAAAGTAAAATGGTGTAAAGATTACTAAGATTACCAAGTAAAATAGTATAAAGAAAGATGAAAAGACCCAAGAAAGAGCCCTGTGAGACACTCACAGTTACTGGGTGCAACCTGTATGAAGATCCAACATAAGAATAGAGCTAGGGTTTATATGGAAAAGGGCATGGAAAAGGAATGCCAGGGACACTGATGAAGTAATTTAAAGTTCCACGTGTCTTTGGGACCTATGGATGAGAAAGTACAGGGAGTATACCAGACAGGGAGGGAGATGACAGAGGTATGGATCTTTGGAGTTTGCCAGGAGGAAGAGTCCTTGGGCCGGCCAAGGACAAAACTCCTTGGGCTGGGCAAGGCACCCCTCTCCCTGTGCCTTGATGAGAGAATGCTCTGCAACAAGGGAAAGTTTTCTCACAAGACAGGAACTTACTAAGGAATTGGGAGGCTTCCAGAGACATGATCTGAGGGCTGGGGCCTGAGCAGCCTGGCACTCTCTCATCCAGCTTTGTGTAGCTGCACCAGGCAGAGAGATAAGGGTTGTGCTGGGGCCCACGCATGAATAACTGCTAAGCACAGTGTCCTTGGGCTGGGGAGTGGTTGTCAGAGACAGTGTTTCTGAGACTAGGGAGAAATTGGGGTCCAAGTACAAACACAAGCACCCAAGCACCTCATCAGTTCTGGAGGGTTATATTTTATTCAGTGGAAATAGGATAGGTAAAAAATGTGTGAGGGGCATTATGTGTCAAGAAGACATAGTAATATGAGAAACTGAGGAACTAGAGGGGAGGAATCATTTAAGTAAAGTTCAAAGGAGGGAGAAACAAATAATTTTGTCTTTGGAGCATAATATAGAGCACTTGGATAGATAAAGAGATAAAAAGAAATAGATGAAAAGTTTGGAAAATAGATCACCAGTCTGGTACAGAGGCATGATTTAGTAGTGATAGGAGACTTCAATTACCAGTCATATGATCTTTCTCTCTCTGTCTCTGTGTGTGTGTGTGTGTGTGTGTGTGTGTGTGTATGTCTCTCTCTCTCTCTCTCTGTCTCTCTCTCTCTCTCTCTCTCTCTCTCTCTCTCTCTCTCTCTCCCTCCCTCCTGAAAGCAGAGCAGCTAATAACTTATTGAAGTGACTTTTTTATAAATTCATCCTTGAAAAGACACAGAAACAACATTAATTTCCTTTAAATGTCTAAAGACGTAACAAAAAGCTTTACTGTTCAATTTGAAGATGATATGAACTAGAAGAGATAGCTAATAGGGTAAATGGCAAAATCAAAATTTGGGTAAGCCTTGGATAGGACCCTGACCTGAAAAGAAAAAAGAGATAAGTTCATAGAATTTTAGATCTAGAAGGAACCTTAGAGATTATCTAGTTTACCTTCTTCATTTTGCAAATTGGGAAGATTAGATACAAGGAATAGAAATAAAAGTTACAAGTCAGATTTGACTTCCAAACTAGTTTTCCTTTCAGTTCCTACAACATGCATAATCTTGCCTCACCTGACATCATTAATTATTTAAGTGAAACATTATGTCACGTGAAAGTATCTTATAAATTGACAGTTGTTTCCACTGGATTTTAGGTTATAAGTAAGGGGCTAACCAAATGCCATTACAGTCAGATTTTGTGTATGTATCCACAGCACCTATCATAGTGCCTAGAGTATAATATGTGCTTAATAATTATTTTCAATTCTTTTTTAATTTACAGCCAAGTTTTTTGTTTGTTTTCACTGAATTTGAAATTTCACGGATTTAAGAATCCCCAGTGAGGAAGCTCCTTCTACAAATAAAGAGCAGCAACTATTTTTTAACTAATTATTATAGAGTTTCTCC